TCTTGTAAATCTGGAATTGAATACCGGAAGTCTTGACATTGACTATTTTAGTACCTGAAGTCACCACAAAATCGGAACTGTGACAAACTTGTAGATTTATCCATTGCATTGTTTTTGGATTTGGGTCTCGTTCGTTTAGATACAAGAACTATCGGACTAGTAATCGGTATATCTTCCGTTTCTTGAACCGTTGAAATAATACCTTGTTTTAGTAATTCATCCAAGTGATCACGTAGTACATTTTTCTTGTCCGGTGACAATCTATAAGGTTGCTGATGCTTTGGTTTAAAGTCCGGTTTTAAGCAAATGTAATGTTTAACAAGTTCCGTATATCCTAACCTTGGATTTTCATCGGTTACAAACAAATCTTTATATTGAATTAAAAATTGTGATATTTGCCGCTGTTCATCGGTTGATAAATGTTTCGGCAATTCAAAGTTTGACAAAAACTTGGACTCAGTTTCTTCACCTGTAGTATGACTTCTATTATCTAATTGTACATTTTTAACAAAGTGTTTGTCCTTTTCATCTGCATTGATTAACATGTAATCTTCCGTGAACGGTTCAAAATTAGCAATAACGTCTCCACGAGAGATAAGAATATGGTCATTAGTAGGATTTAATAACTTGATCGGAACAGTTTTATGGCTATTTACAGTAACTACGGCCTTCGAAATTAGAAGTCCGCTTTTCAACAAGTGAGAACTATTCTGACACATTCCTGTTTGTCCCTGTAGAATATAGTTTGACACTTTACCACATATCAAAAGTTCAGAATTTGGATCTACAGTAATAACATGCTTTTGTAATTTAACTTTTACTGTTTTATTTGAGACAGATAAACTACTAAAATCCAATACAATTTTCTTTGAAATTAAGTAACTCGTACAAAGAATCAATGGATGAGAAGATTGAGTTAGAATATATGTATGAATCCAATGCTTGCCCTGCGGCACTTGTATTTTTACGATACATTTGCCAACAATATTAACTGACTGGTTATTCGCCAAAACTATTTTTTCTGATACTGAACATATTGACGTTTTACAAGTGTCCGGCAAAGAATCATAGAAACTTTAAGAAATAATGTTTATTGAACTTCCAGAGTCTACAAGTGCTGCGACAGATATGTGATTAACCTTGACGGTCATATGAATAAATTGAGATTTGAAACTAGTTAAATTTTCATCAGTAAATTCGCAGTCTTCAGTATCAGTGCAATAATGAGCATAATTTATTTCTTCACGTTGACGACTTTGAGGCGGACTCCTTTTTCTGGCACCTATGGATGAACGCCCGAGGGAGCGTGCCTTATGACCCCCCCCCCCCCCCCCCCCCCCCCCCCGGTTCGACTGGTGTCCAGGATTACTATGATGGTGACACTGAAAAGCACCATGTCCAAATTGCTGACAAAGTTGACACTGCATAGTTGGACTTCTTTCACCGTGACCATTCCAGTTGCAGTTTGCTCGAAAATGACCGGGAGCCTGACAATTAAAGCACGTTTTTGGTCGGTTATTTCCTGCCTGACTTGAAAAGTTATTGTTGTAACGAGGGTTTTGATATTTTGGAGGCATTCTTGGTTTGATATCGGTACTTTGTGATTTTATTTCTGATAATTAATGCATTTGTGAGCTCTTTAACTTGGTTTTGTAAACCTTGAACCGGATTATTGTCATTAACAACCATTGGCTTAGCAGCTGCAACACTAACTACATCGTCCTTCCTATACCCATAAGCTTCGCCCATTTTAGCGGCGGAAAATGCACTAGCACTGACTTTATGTGTACCAGCCCTAACAAAAAACGCAAGCTGTTCCGGTAAACCCTTGATAAACTGAGAGAAAATTTCATGGTCCTTCTTTTTCAAAATCTGAGCTTTCTCAACTATCTGTCCATAAAAATCTTCCAAAATTTGACCCCTACTTAATTTCATATTTTGAAAATTTTCGCTCTCAAGGAACACGGTCGGACTTTGCCAATCTAACTCTATATACTTTTCATCAAAAATTGCAAGAAATTGTGTGTTCATGTGCGTTTGCTTCCCGCATCTAGTGAATTAAACCATGTTAATGCAGGGCCTGTTAAGTTAAGGTGAAAAGCGGCAATCATTCTTTGATCATCGACATGGTCAATTTTGTGAAGAGTTGCAAATGAAGTAAATACTTTTACAAACACCGATGCATTTTCGTGGGGATATCCCCCAAATTTGCGACAAGCAGCCAATTTTTCCATTATTGCAGAATCTGAATCTCGAATGAAAATACCTGGTTGATTTGCCAATGGCACAGAAATTTTGGGAGTGTTAACTGAAGCAGTGAAGGAACTAAAGAAAGTAATTCGTTGAATTCGGCATCCTCAGATTCGTAATTTCGTGGCATATAAGTGTCTTCTCGTCATAGAAAATTAAAATGTAATGAGATAAATCTCACATTCATAAACAGTTTTATTCGAGTATACAACCATTGGAAATTAATAAGGTAACGAGATAAATCTCACATACATATATTCATACATGCATTCAGTGTTATGCAGTTCGACGGCCATTTTCTGCCCGCGCGTAACGTGGTGAGTCAAACCACGTGTTTTCTACTGTTGACAATTATTTCAAGGCTTCATTTTAATGTGAATTCTAGACAGTTCGGTACCCAGACAAATCGGCATCAGGACAAATCGGCACCCGAGAAAGACATTTCGGCACCCAGACAAATCGGCACCTAGACAAATCGGCACCTTATAAAGATAAAATCAAAATATAGTAAAACAACCATTAAAGTTACCTGGCACTGATATATGTATGTGGGTATGAACTCAATTAACAAGTTTAGTGTTAATATAGCGATTATGTTCGACTGTTTTTACGCTTTTATGTTGATGGATTTTAATATTAAAACAATAAAATATAGTTTTCAGGTATTGTGTTGTCTTTACAGATGTAATTATCAAACGAGAACACAAGCTGAAATACAAGCTATACACTTTTGATCTCTCATTTGTCTCTATTGAGAAATAATCAGATTTATACATAAAATACAGATTAATGCATAACTACAATTAATTATGATTTAATTAAATGATGTTTATTCAAACACCGTCATATCTAACAATATATATATCTTTATTCTCATCACCAAATACATAGGTACAGAGAAGACATGCATGTAATACAATACATTAAATACATAAACATAAATATACAACATATACAACAACAACAAAGACAAAAAGAAATTATTCAGGAGGACACACTCGCTTGTTTAAAATTCGTATAAACTTACATAAATTTATGAGATCTGTCCTATTTGTAGACGACATAATTTCACTAAATAATATAATATTTGGCCTTATACTAAAATTTCGATTTATAAATTTATTTCTCTCTTCTCTAAAATGTGAACAATTAATAATGTAATGGAATTCATCTCCAATATCTAGCTTACATAAATTACACTTTCTTTTTTCCCTTTCTATATTGTACCATCTTCCAAGTTCGACTGGAAGTTTATGGTTACATATTCTAAATTTACATAATGTTAAAAAATCTTTTTCGTCTAAAATATTAAAATATTCTTCAAAACACAATAAATTCTTAAAAATACGATAATTCAAGGCTTTGGAACAGTTTTGAATAGTCTCGTTCCATGTTTGTTTGAATTGATCACACAATCTTACTTTGATATTATATTTCAACCATACATCATTTAAAAAGAGCTGTGTGTTCCAGATATAAGAAAATCCACATTCATCAAATATATTTTTAACACATATTAACCATCTAAAATCTATGTTTTTAGTACAATACAAGTGGTACAGTAGCTTATAAATAATACAAGAATACTTTGACTGCTTTCCCATAATTAATTTAGACCAGTAGGATATCATCCTTAATTTTACATCAATAGCAAGTGGAAAACGTCCTAGCTCACCGTATATCATACAGTTGGGAGTGGAAGATTTCAGATTTAGGAGCAACTTACAAAATTTTAGATGAACCTTTTCGATAATATCACAGTTACTGAATCCCCATATTTCTGATCCATATAACAGAACAGGTTTGACTACTCTATCAAAAAGATCTAACTGACAAGAAACTGATAGGCTATGAAATTTCCCCCTTTTTAGTATCTCATACATCGCTTTTGTCCCTTTTTCAACTTGTGATTTAATTGCCTTTTTATAATTTCCCGTTTTTGTCAATAAAATACCCAAATAACTAAACTCTTGAACGATTTCTATTTCTTGATCATCTAAAACAAAGTGTAAATTGTCTGGTAATCTTCCATATGAAAAACATAATATTTTGGTTTTGGATACATTTACTTTTAATTTCCAGTAGTTACAGTATTCATTAAAAAAATCTAACTGTATTTGAAGATCTTGTGGTGTTTCAGCCATCAAAACAGTATCATCTGCATATAATATTAAAATGATAATCAATTATGATTTAATTAAATGATGTTTTACTATTCATACACAATCATTCAAGATTTAATTAAATGATTTCAAATTTTGTATTGCATATTTTATCTACGGATTATAATATTACTGTAACAATTCTTTCATTTTTCCTAATATATATATTTTTAAAAAAATGAGGTGTCGAATTGTCTAGGTCCCGAAATGTCCAAAATAGATGCTGATATGTCTTCGGACTTGGGTGCCGATTTGTCTGGGTGCCGAAATGTCTTGTTACCTTTTAATGTTTCATATGGTCATTTTGTATATATCAGGTACCAATTGTTTCGATTTTAGGGTTCTCCACCATGTAATATACCTGACTTAGGTTTGGGGGACTTAAGACAAGTATAAAATATAAATAAACGAAGAGCTCTCAAATTACATCCTTTTATTTTCAAACACAAAAAGAGGCTGATACAAGTAATAATCACAACAATGATGGACAAGGCAATACAGTTCCGGAAAATACGGATTCAACATACAGATATACAACAATGTACTCGTTCTTTTTAAAATTAACTAAGATACTTTTTTGTATTACAGGCATTACAAAATCTGACATGGCAGATAGAGAGAAGCCGTCCATTTAACAGACGAAAACGTGCGATAATGACAGCTGTCATCGTATTCCTTGTTATAGTGACATGTGTTACCGCTATGTTGACGGTCAGTGCTGATAGAGAATTTGAAAGACTCTCTTCCAATCCATGGGTGACGCAAGATCAAGTTAACAATTCCAACATAATATTTTCCATCTGTATTGCATTTTCATTTTTCTGTGCCACTATGACAATTGGACTTATAATAATCTGGTTTGGAATGGAGTGTTGTTTCATCATGCACAGACGTGGAATTCTTAGGAGGGCAACGTCAGCACTTCTGCGCAATGATTCAGTTTGAAAAGACAAATATACTATTGTCTTAAATAAATTGATTCAAATGAGGAATCTGTCTTTGTATATTACATTGGAAACAGAGTTGTTTGCCAGCTATCCCAAAGGATATTTAGTACATCTTGAATCATCAATAATACTATTTTTTATCTGGCGGATTCACAGGCTTTGTTGTTTTGTCGTTTGTAAGCGTAAGAAGAGATCAGAACTGACCTCGTACAAGTTTATGTTCTGGCAAAAAGTCACAAGTGGATGTGCTTAATGAGTTAAAAGACGCGAGTGTTGGAACCACCTTTTAAACGGTCTTTAGAAAAGTGAACAAACAAGTTGCACAAATAAAAAAATATCTAGAGCCAAACTTTAAAATTATGAATATATATAATTATAATTTAGATCTATTTAACTTTAAGCCGGAAATCACCGATGAATACTAGTATCTTTATATTGATTTAATATTTCTATTTTTGAAGAAAAAAAAACTAAAATCTTCGTTTAAATTGTCAGAATGTTCTTACTGTAAAAAGCAAACGTCCGCGTTTGTTTCAACAACAAGCCACCCCATCACAAAAATTGGATATCGTAGTACTCTGATTTATTTGTGCCTTTGATCGTTTCTTGATTGCAAGTGGTTGTGGGGACGATGGCAAATTGAATGACCTAGTATTAATGTGTGTAAAGGAATGACTAAATTAATTTTTTTACAAAATTGAATGTCACCAATTTTCTTATGTTCTTCGTTCAGCAGCTTTTCCAATATTGAAACATGTGCTCGAAGTAGCACCCCCATATCAATTACAAAATTCCGAAAGTTTCACTTAAGATTAATACCGATCTACTACACTATTTTCTACATATTTCTATCCTTTATCACCAATATATAAAACACTGCCATGTACGTCATACAAATAAAACATAAGAATTTTCCTTGTGTCATAAAGTCACCTATGTTGCACATAAGTGGATTTATAAATGAAAACAATACTTTATAAATTTCATGCGTCCGAAGTGCTTTTCTGGATTATTTTTTGTCTGATTTCTTCATCAGGAACGCGCAAAGCCGAATAATTGAAAGCTAAGGATGCATAAGAACTGAAACAGTTGACAAAAAATGACCTAAAATAATAGCCAAATCTATATCTAAGGTCATTTTCCTGAGGGGGTTGATATCTTAGTTTCTTATTAATTAAGGCGAAGTGTACGTAATTAACTACTCCACAGAATTTTTTTAAATTTTACATGTGGATTCTGCTTGTAAAAATACATCAGACAGTAAAATAAAAAAAGGGGGTAACCGTTTTCGTTTTTCATATACAAGCTGTCGAAATTAACAGCTTGATACGCCAAAAATACAAAGGATATATAGGGAAAATCATAAAAATCGGCAGATACTTTTACTTTATCAAGATTTTCTATTTCGTTGGTCCACAGATTTTTTTTAAAAATCGATATGCGATTCAAAAATGAACGACGAACCCATTGGTGCAAAGAAAGTCCTTAGCAACCGTGCTAGTTTTCAAGCTATATCCTGTGGAAGTTTAATTTTTAGCGGAAAAAATAAAAACATTCGGCGACGTTATTGATGTCTACTGTAACGTCATCACAATTTCTACTCTATAACGCTATTATAAAGGTCAAAAGAAGAACACGCATATGAATTTTAGCAAAGTAAAACAGATCGGAGTTTTTGATATAACTTCCCGTAGCACAGATCATTCCCAGTGTTAGCCTTAGCATTGTGTATATTGTGTATAATGCTATAGCATTGTGTATAGTGTAATGCTAAAGCTTTGTGCATGGTGATATGCTATAAATGTACTGGTGTTATACTATAAATGTACTGGTGTAATACTAAACATGTACTGGTGTAATGCTATAAGAATGTACCATGGGCGATGCTTTACGAGTTTACCTAGTGTAGTGCCATACAAATTGTTCCTGTATATAATGCAAATGAATTGCAGTTTTGTTAATATAATATGAAAATAAGGAGATGTGGTATGATTGCAAATTAGACAACTATCTGCCACAGTTTAAGGTAGACCGGGTGTCTTTTTCTGAGCGTCCGTTCTGATCATGTTGCAAAAATACTTTTTTGTTTTAAAAATATTTTACCAAGTATCATTTAATATACAACAAAATACCTAAAACTTGAAATTTAAAGATTGAACTATCAAAACATTAAGTGTCGTAAAGTATATTTAAAATTTTTGGGGATTTTTTCAAGAAAATAAGGCCCGTGACCCCCTATTTTTATTTGATATTTCGGAGTTATTAATGAAAAGCAATTCTCTCATCGAATTTTAGCCAATTCTATCGTTTAATGTTTCCGCAATAAGGAAAACTTAAGTTTCCTCTATATTAACAATATAAAATAACCCAAATTTCGTTAATTTCAATGTGTTATTACGAAAAAACAAGGTCCGTGATCCCCAGTTTTTGTATTGAAATTTGAAATTACATTGACCCAGAAGTCTTTTACAGAAGTTTAAGGAAAATCTATCGTCCAATATTTAGACACCCCAGCTACCTTAAATCATGTGGATGTAATTATTATAGGCAACCATACGGCCTTCAACAATGACAAAAATCCATACCGTATAGTCGGTTATAAAAAGCCCCGACATTGTAGACCCTAGTTTCTTCACCCCCTCCCCCTTCTTCCCCTACCTTATACTACTGCTGAATGATACACAAAACCACAACAAAAGAAAACAAATTTCGCTATCCCTTCGAAATTGGAATTTGATAAAGAAAAAATAACACGTTCTATTTTTATCATACATGTGTAGTTTCAGTTTCAACCATGGTTCTAAATTTAGATTTTACTTTCCCAAAAAATTGCGGACGGAATAGAAAACACCTGTTTATTTTCTGCACCTTGAAAACTGAGATTTGGATGACATAGATTTTACTTATTCTGAGATAAAAGTAATAGTGCTCAATTCTTAGTTTCTGAGTGTGTAATGTTTTGTGGACGGAATCTGATGGGTTTTTTTTTGCTGTTGGCTTTTTCTTCGGCTTATAAATGTTGTACTAGTGGTCGATTACCCTTAGTATCTTTTATACTTTTTACATAAATAATAAAATATAAAACATCAATTGCATAAAATCGGACATGCCAACGTCTTTCTTGTTCAACACACAAATTCACATGCAATATAATTATTCGTTACCTACAATTTTACGCTACACTGAATTTCATTCAAAACTATGGTTTTTCAAAAAATATTGTGGGGTCAATTCTGGTTTGATTTTAATGAATTTGATACGAATAGAAGCAGAATTGTCACTGGTTTATTTGTTTATTTGGTTATAATTTTGTTGTTTAGGCGTTTTTACCTTCTGTTGAAATAAACACGAGTCGTATTGTGTACCTGCTTCTGCGTGTCTAAAACAAAAACAGTGGTAATAGAGTCAGACTAACTCACAATAGGATCCTCAGATTTCTGATTGGAGTCATTATAATAATTTCTTTGAAGTTTTGAAATAGCACATGAATACTTGTTTGGATTCATGAAAGACCGCACGAAGTCATTTTTCTTTCATGTGCCCATTTTTCCTTTCTTGGAGTAGGGGAGATAACCCGCGTAACTAACGACGCACGTTTTTTATCCTGAATTCCGCTAGAGGCGTGCAATTACGTACACTTCGCCTTAAAGTAGTTTTCCTATCCCCGGGAGTTAATTTTATTTTACTTATAAAATCAGTTACAAAACTGTTACCCTTTTTCCATAGAATCAAAGTAAACTAATTTTCATCTTATAGGCAATAGAGAATTTCTTAGGATAGAAGTTTTTGTTAAGAATGTCCATCTTTTAATTTTGTTGATAAAACAAACACAAACTAATAAGATTTTCTAATATATTATTTGTAAGAAAACAATTTCCATTTTCTTTGTGACAGGATGCTAGTAACGTACCAATTTTAGTGGTTCGGACTCGACGGAAACACCCGTTCTTTTTTTTTCTCGCTAAACATTTTTCTATCGAAAAAGGTATTCCTTTTAGGACACATGAAATTGGAAAATAAGAACGGAATAAAGACTGTATTCTGCAAATTTCAAACAAAAATTTCCCTTTAAAATCAGTGTCAGAAAGTGAGAAAAAAAATATATAAATAGTTGACCACCTATAGAGCATATTATAAGATATATGGTTCGCTACTGACCCCCTACAGATCCATAGAGGGTTAGTAAAATCCATAGGGTTGAGGCCGAAGGACGAATCTATCATGGATTTTACTCACCCTCTATGGTCCGTAGGGGGTCAGTAGTGAACCGTAAAACGAATTTATCGCACACGGGACTTTTCCTGCCGCGTTTTGAAGAAAAATAAACAATGAAATACAACATCAAAAGATGACGTTACCATTAACATTTTCGCACCGCGGGTAAATTATTACGTTGTGATTGGTTTAACGCCATCACGTGGTGACCCCTATGGATCCGTAGGGGGTTAGTAAATTTCACAGTGGGCTCATGACGTCACGGCTACTGTTAATGGTGACGTCATCTATTGGTGTTTTTGTATTTCATTGTTTTATTTTTCTACAAAACGCTGCAGAAAAAGTATCGCGTGCGATAAATTCGTTATACGGTTCACTACTGACCCCCTACAGACCATAGAAGGTGAATAAAATCCATAGGGGATTCGGCCTTCGGCCTCCAGGGGCGTAACTACCCGGAAGCATGACAGCACGTGCATCCACGTCGTTTTCATAAAAAAAAAAAAAAAAGGAGAGAGAGAGAGAGAGAGGGGGGGACAAAGTTAACTTAATGGAATTGGTCTTTCTATGTATGTATTTTAAAAACTACACAAAGAATAAAAGTAAGGGGAATAAACAAGCAGCGAAATTTTTAGTCCTTTAAAACATGTATGTGTACTATAAATACATACAACTGGTGTAAACATAGTGGAACTTTTTATATTACGGACATTGTTTAGAAAAACAGCTACCTAATTGTCGGTACCACCACCATAACGTATACTAGCCTTGAGTGCAAAAAAAACAACATATAATCCCTTTAGGGTTAACAAAAAAACTTGAAAATTATT